AAGAAGAAAAAATAACCGGAGTTGGATGAAAGCCTGCTCCCACAAAGCACATGCGTATTACTCATCCCCCTCAGTGCCGCCTTGTTCTCGTGTGTTGTGGGTGGACTGGGGTGGGAGGCCGTGCAGGGAACTGGGAAATGCGTGTTCTTTGCATGTAAGAAATCGACAAGATGCTTTCTCAATTTACCGTGACTGTGCAATTTTTTTCGGCATAAATGCTTATACAAGTGAAGCAAGAAGTCTTTTAAGACTTCAGAATTTACCTCAGTTCAAGACCACACACACACACACACACACACACACACACACACACGCACACACACACACACTCTCAGAATGAAGATCTTGTACATGTCCCAGGTGCAGAGAAATCTGTGAAGCAGCATGTGGCTTGTCCCACTTCCCCTACGTGTGTGTGTATTGCAAGAAGGCTGACCCATTTGAATCTCACGTTGCCACTCAACGATACAATTTTCAATCCGGTACAATTTGGGAGGCGAATCCGGAGCGAACAGTCACTGGGCGTTCTGACTGACTGACTGACTGCAGAAGTTATACAAACTTGTAAACAGTCCAATTTACAGAAGTCCACATAATTTAAAACATTTTTGTGATTTTCATAGACAGCACAACTGCACCTGGCACAAATGTTGGCGGTGCCGATTTTCATATTAGCACAAGGTTCGCTCCGTGTGTTTCCCAATTTGGCGGACTGGTCCCTGCCAAGCTGGGTGGGCTGGTGCAGCAGAAGGAGTGTGTTCGAGATGTGCCTGCCCGAGTGACAATATGGTGGCAGAAAGTCGGTTAAAATCTTACACCTGCTCAGACCACGTCTAACACTATTGCATGACGCATTTCCTTCATAAATATATTAAAAGTGCGACTCAAACACTCAGAATTGCATGCATTATACTATATTATACTGTATATTTTTACATTTCCTATCAAGTGACACAGCAAGGGGGAGCACAAGAATAATAGGAAGCGAAGGGTAGTCTCCAAGTGCCCATTTCATGGCACAAATGTGCTTCAGAGCTCGCCACATTTAAAGGGAATGAAAGGAGCTGCTTTGATTGGTCATGATTGAAGCCAGCTGTGACCATTCCCACAGCGCCACAGGCCTCCCTTTCGCAGATCTGCACATCTGTGAAATCACCAACACTGGGTCTAACTGACCCCTGCAAAATAGAGCTCAAAATCCATCCAGCCATCCATTTTTGGTAGAACTTGCCCTTCTATCCCAGCTGACTTTAAGTGAGAGGCAGTGTAAAGCCTGGACTGGTTGCCAGCCAGTCGTACAATATCCAATTCAGACTGTCAAATAATCGTCTGAGGAAGCAGATATTGCATGGTGGGTCATGGGAAATGGAGTCCCATTAAGTATTTCATTTTACTGTTAGTGATGAATGTTGAAATGTTCCTTGAAGTTGCCTGTACGGTTAAATAAAGCGGGGGGGGGCACTCGCAGCCTCCCACTCCCCCTTCCATTTCACTACCCTAAAAAAAAAAAAAGAAACATAGCACAGGTAGAAATAACACGCAAACTCCTCAAAGGATGGCTGGAGTGGAGATTCAAACGCAGAAGCTCACAACTGTGAGGCAGACATGCTGACCTCGACTCCACCGTGCTGCTTATTGTGTTTCTTGAACATTTTGAAATGACAGAACATACAAGAGAAGTATCTGCATTTCTCTGGCACCTTTTACATCAGGATAAAGTTTTGCAAAGAAACGCAGACGGGAGGACGCCTTCTATGCGTAACATGGAAAGCAGCAGGAGAGGTCACCGCCACATTGTCAGGAAGCTCCAAATGCTGAGCTGAGTGTTGAGAGGACGAATAAATATTCGGATCATTTTAAGTGCCACTTTCCGTTATGTTGTGAAAGTCAGGGTCGTGTAAAGCATTGTTTGACCAAAGCATGTTTGAGAGAGAGAAAACAAGGAAACAGCACAGGCAAGCTGTAAGGAAGGGAGGGTGGCACGTATAAGCGAAGTGAGTGAAGGAGAAGGCGGATTTGCAAATGTAAAGAAAAGGAGCAGCAGCTGAAATTCAGGCTGGAGGGAGGTGCGACCGGGCTTGAAGGCGCGTCCGAGGCGGCGGGGAGACCGCGGCCGGCAGAACTTGCTGCGTCCGCGCGCCGCTCCATCTGACCTCTCCTCGTTCTCCTCCCCGAAGAGGCACCTGGAAGTGAGGAGATGTGAAGAAGCTTGAAGTATGGCATGCGAAGATGATTTCTGCCAATACGAAGGAGATGGTGACGGCGATGCGCACCGTTTTTATTTTTATAACTCTCCTCTACTTTTTCTTTTTGACGACGTGGTGAGTCCCACATTTTCAGTGCCGAAGCTTCCATTTTTTTCTTCTTCGCTTTTGTCTTTTTCTTTTATTTTTTTTTAATCTCGAGATTGTTCTGTTTTCCTGTCTAGTGTTAAGAGCGCCACAGGACAGACAAGGAAGGATGAAAGGATCTATCCGGAGAATTTTACGCGGATTTTAGACCGACTTCTGGACGGGTACGATAACAGGCTGAGACCTGGATTCGGAGGTACTGTACAATTATTTTAAATTCTACCACGATATACTCTTACCAACAACGCACGCATTCCTGCCGACAGACACTGAAGTCAATAGTAACTTACTTTTAAGGAAGCATATCAATAAAATTGTATAAATGAAATAAATGACGCAGTGAACCTTTTGGAACTTTGTGACGACTTCCCTCCCACCGTGGGTTAATTCGACCTCCAAACGGGACATCACCACTCACACTATGTTAAACAGTATATCCCACTTTTATCCCATATAATCTCTCACGTTCACACCCAGTGTGGTTATATAATCGCGTTGCGGGACAAATGCTTAATGCACACTTGAAGGGCTAAAAAAGTGCAGATTTGTTTCTCAAGCATGTCTGAAACTAATGTGCGTGTATATGGTGTCATTGCATTAGGGCACATCCACACTGGAGCTCATCCCCGCTGTAAAGACTTCAATCAAGTCCACATTCATTCGCTAGAGGGGAAAAATCAAACAGGATTATGTTTTACAAGCATTTTTTTTACAGCCATTAGGCTGATGTGGCTGAGTGCACGCCTTTTGACTTCATCCTGACAAACTGGAGGCCTATGAGAAGGTTGAGGGTGTTTACAGCAAATATTAAGTGTGAATAAGACTATTGGATTGCAATTTGAGAGGCTTTTTCAGTTGAACATGTGATTTACTGTCTCATCAGGTCCCGTGACTGAGGTCAAGACAGACATTTATGTGACAAGTTTTGGTCCTGTCTCAGATGTTGAAATGGTATGCACTGCAATTATTACAACTTCAAATATTGTATTTCATTCATATTCACTGCTCAAAAAACAGGGAATCATCACAGTCAATTGCATTTCTGGGATATCACTAGTCCAGTTCAGCGGGGTGCGCGCATACCGATGTTTTACGTTTTAACCAATTTTAAAAATGTGATAGACACCACAGATGATGATATAAAATTGGCAAGTGTGTACTACGTCAGGTGCCCCCAGAATAATTAGTAGGTGCTTCAAGTACCGCCAAAAGGACTAACATTAAAATACGGTAGCATGCTAGATGTAAGTGTCATGAAATCAAAATTATTGCTAGTCAGTGGAACATTATGCACAACTTGAACATTAACACTGAACGTAAATACAGCAAAAATGTTCCAGAAATTGAAATACAGCTGAACTGTACTTGGACAGTAATTCTTTTGCGTGCCACTAGAGTGAGCCAGAATAAAAATAGAGCCACTCAATACCACACACGGAGAATCATTGCATTGTATCAATACTGGCCGCCGAGAAAAAGAAGAAATAGAAGAAACAGGCTCTTCCTTTTCTTGCCATTTTTATTGTTGTTGAGGGAACAACACAGAGCACATACAGTATTATACTCAACGCTTTGCTCTTCTATTTGTGTCTGGGAACAGCTTGAGCTTCAGTTTGATTCTCATTCCATTTTACATCACTTTCATAGAGTACATGACTTGTCTGAACAAACCTGATTCTTACACAGCTTCAACATCAACAATTGCTCGTTTTAACTGTATTCTCAAAATATTGCGGAGAGAAAATCACCCTTTCACACCGCATAGTACAGTACAATAGGTCAAGGTAACCTTTGAGAGACATCCAACAATCGTTCCTTTGTGTACTCTGATAGGAATTGAGAAGTGGTTAGGTCCAATAATGGATATGAGTGTACCCCGCTTTAGGAAACAATTGCAAAATCGATTTCATCTGCTGTTATGCAAATGCCACAGGCAACTAGCGGAAAGGAGAGGAAATCAGAGCAAGACGCTCGTGATAGCATGAGGTGGTATCTGCAGCCCACATTAGTTGCAAATGTAATGCAGCTTATCCATACGCACCATGGCCAGAAGCCTTTGTTGCATGGCCCAGTACAGTGTCAAGAGCATGGAAGACATACGACCCAACAACAGGACCATTATCTGTTCCTTTGTACAGAACAGAACAGAAGACGCATGGCCTTCTCTGTCCAACTCGTCAGAAAATCACTCAGAGCCATTCTCAGACCATTTCCGTCTCTAATGGACCTGAGGTTCCTTTTGGTGTGTGAAAATGCCTCATGTGGTTGGAGCGTGTCGGCAGTTCTTGGTTGACAAATGCATTGATGATTTTGACTGAGATTGAGAGAGAACTTCAGTTTGACTTGTCTTGAGGCAATGTACAGAAGTTGGATCTGTCTGATTGCATTTGCATATGAGTTTGAATCCACTTCGCTGTACTTTAACAAGTTGGGTTTCCTCTGATTGTTATGCTAGCCTGCAACTGGCTGACAACCAGTTCAGGGTGTATCCTGCCTACTGCCCCAAAACAGCTGGGATAGGCTCTCGCATGCCCCGCGACCTTTGTCAGGATAAGCGGATCAGAAAATGGAAGGATGGGTGCATGTTATGTTTGCTCAGGCCTCTTTGGTACATAAGTAAGACTTTAGCTAGGCTGTTGTGTCACTGTGACCTTTTCCTGGCTATGCGTCTTCCTATCTATCTGGACCCTTGCACGGTTTCCAGCTGAAACCAGTTAAGACCAACGAATCACACAAATGTCACATGGGCGAGGCAGAACCGGACAGATGAGACCATTGATAGCCCCTCTCCAGCCTGTTTGATGTATTTCCTTGCTCCAACTCACTTGAGTCAAACGGTCAGATCATCAGCATGCTTATCAATAGCCTTATATCAATCTGGTGTGTTGCAGCTAGGGAAACATCTAAAACTGTCTGGAAAGGGGCTCCCGAGGACTGGATTTGGAGACCCCTGCATTAGACATTCTTCCGCATTGGGCCAAAAAGGGCCCCACTACCATGTCTCTATCTTTCTGGCATCCATTAAATTGTTCAACTGAGAATATGCTATCTTCTGGTAGTTACTGTTAGTATAATATTGTGAGCATTAACGATAAAAGGACTGGGCAAAGTTCGGTGCCGTAACCCGGATCAGTTACATTACTTAGTTTTCATAAAAATATTGTTTAAATGACATTTTGACCTACAGCATTTTGACCATTGAGATCAGGCATGGTGGGGAGGTGTGTGTGTGTGTGTGTGGGGGGGGGGGGTTACTTTCCCTTTATTTTTGAGCAGTGTACAATCAGCCCCAGTCAACAAAGTAAATTGAAAATGTAAACAGATTTTTGCCTTGTTTGTCCGTTTTCATGTGTTAGGAGTACACAATGGACGTGTTCTTTCGACAGACGTGGGTGGACCGCAGGTTAATGTATGAGGGCCCGATTGAGATTTTGAGGCTGAACAACTTGATGGTGACCAAAGTTTGGACGCCAGACACTTTCTTCAGAAACGGCAAGAAGTCAGTGGCCCATAACATGACGGCGCCCAACAAACTGTTCCGCATTATGAAGAATGGAACCATTCTCTACACAATGAGGTCCTGTGAGATGAACTTTCATGTTTTATTTTTTGTTTTTTGTTTTTTAAATTACCATCCAGAAAGGGAGTCAATAATTCATAGCTTGTCAGAATTCAAACTGCCATTTCCTGCGAGAGTCATCTGTGATGTCTATACTTGGTGTGAATAGTCTTGAGATTTAAAACTCAAAATTCTAGGCCTCTATTTTTGTAGGCAACGAATCTTCACCGTGACACAATATCCCTATACATCCTGAAAAAAATTGGAGTGATATTTACTTGAAAAAAGTTTTTTCACTCAGAAATTCAAAGTAAATTTTACAAGGTGAGTTTTGGAGCACATTTTACTTGCATAGTATGAGATATTTTAAAAAACGTCACTCAAGTGTTAAGGATCAAACTCACAACCTTCAGATTTGTAAACAGCCACTTTACCACTTGACACATGCCATTCTTTCCGGAATGTTACAAAACTGCTGTCGTTTCCAAAATAGGACCTCAAAAACGGGTCAAAAGTACCATACGTGTGTTTTGCCTGACACCAGCAATACACAAATACGCAGTAGGAGTGATGTGGCTCAGTTGGATTGAGTGGCTCTCTTTCCAACCTCAAGGTTGTAGGTTTATTCCTCAAACCTTGAATGACTTTAATAAACTAATACTATCCATCCATCTATTATCGGAACCGCTTTATCCTCACAAGGCATGCTGGAGCCTATCCCAGCTGTTTTTGGGCAGTAGGATAGGTACACCCTGAACTGGTTGCCAGCCAATCGCAAGGCACACATGGACAAACGACCATTCGCACACATAGCTAATCACGTCTAGGGACAATTTGGAGTGTTCCACTAACCTCACATGCATGATTTTGGAATGTGGGAGGAAACCGGAGTACCCGGAGAAAACCCACGCAGGCACAGGGATAACATGCAAACTCCACACAGGAAGGCCGGGGTCGGAGTCAAGGCCACGACTTCAGCACTGTGCGGCAGAAGTGCTAACCAGTCGATCACCCTAAACTAATACTATGCAAGTTAAATTTACTCCCAAACCCTCTTTGTAAAATTTACTTAGAATTGCTGAGTGAAAAATCATTGTGGTGGCTATCACTCCAAATTGTTTTTGTGCAATTTCGCAGACTTTCTCCAACTAACCTGAGTAGGGCGGCGTAGCTGAAGGAATGTTTTGAAGATGCACCTGGCGGAGTGACACTTTGCTGGCAGAAAGTCAATCTAAACCTTACACTTGGCATACCACATCTAACTGGCGCAGGATGGACAGCTGGTCTGAAGTGACGCATTTTATTTCTAAATAGGTTAACAGGCGGCATCAAACCACTCTGTATAATTGTATTATATTTTTTAAAATCATCCCACTGGGTTTGAAAGAAGCCACTCTGATTGTCCATGATTGAATGCAGCTATGACCACTCCCACAGTGGAGCAACCCTCCCTGTCGTGGATCTACCAGATTGTGCTCATCTGCGAAATTACCTTCAGGATATACGTCAGTCACAAAACTAGAGCCCTGTATGTTTTGAACCCCGGTGCCACTATTGTGATAGAAACTACCAAAAGGTAGAGCAACATTTTTCACTGTTTATTGAAGAACATGTTCCTTCATAAATTTACATTTGTTACATATTTTTTAGCATAGTGTATTTACGATTTCAGAGTTATGCACTTTTTTCACTGGACAATAACAATATAATTTAGGATTAATGGGAATATTTTGAATCTTTGTCTTTTAGTATTTGCATAAAAATACAAATTTTATCCAAGGGACATGTGTTTGATTATGGCAGAAACTGTGTGTGTTTCTTGCCAATTTTTAACAGTCTTCTGTCTTTTGGTTAACAGATTGACAATTAGTGCAGAATGTCCCATGAAGCTTGTGGACTTCCCCATGGATGGACATGCGTGCCCCCTCAAGTTTGGAAGCTGTAAGTTTTGCTTGAGTGTGAATGTGTGGTGCACAAAAAAAACCCAAAAACAAAAACAAAAAAAAAAACCTCCCTCACATGACAGTTTCCATTTTGGCGCTGAAATGGATTCTTTGCTGAAAAGCACAAAATGTAAGTCTGCTAATACTAAAAAATGATGTGGATTTCATTGTCAGGCTGAGCAGTGAACAATGAAAGCTCAACTCAGCACCATTGTTTATGGTGGCTCTACTGGTCAGCAAAAATGCCTTGCCTCAATTAACGTAGCTACTCAAAAAGAATAGCTCATTCTTATCAGAGAGAAGCAGCCATTTAGAGATTCGATCTGCAAAAGAGAAGCAAGGAATGGAAATTACGTTTGCCTTTGCTCTTGGCCAATCTCTGTCAATTACACTGCAAGATGACATTGTAGAGGACAAATTCCCATTTTTCGGTTATTGTCATCCTTTCCCCCCCTTCTCCTCATCCTCTTGGTACACTCACCTTCAGTCAGGAAGAAACGACCCTGGATGTGATGTGGCCTGAAGCAAAGGAAAGGTCAGATTTTCTTCCCGTGCCCCAGGATAGCAAAGACCTATGTAGCTATTTTCCATATCTGGCGTGAGTGTGTGTGTGTGTGTGTGTGTGTGTGTGTGTGTGTGTGTGTGTGCCCCCGCCTCCCTTCCCTTTCTCCTCTGATTTCATTCCCTGCGCTCTCCTGTTTGCTTCTCCATCTGGACTTGTGTGCGCACTCCATGACACACAAGAGTCATTTCATTTTGGCAGCACAGTTGGTATCCTGCTGGTGCGGAGTCCCATAGGGAGTGCAAGGCAAAGACAGCTGTCATTTTGTTGTGCATTTATTGAGTGGCCGGAGCACGATGAGGGAAACATTAAGACATAGAACGGCATCTTGATATGATATAAGTCAGTCACAAAACAGGATAAATGGTATTTTCTGCAGAGATGTCAGGAGAGTGGGCAAAAGTTCTCTGCACTCAAGTAAAGATAAAAAAAAAAAGCTGGTGAAAGGTGCTGGCACTGATCCAATGCCTTAAATAAAAGTACAAAAGTATAAACTAAATTAATACAAAACAAAAAATGCTTTCTTCCCCTCATAATAATGAGATTGAAATATATATCTCTGTCTGTCGATCTATGCACACACAATGATTTTTTGGAACCGACTTCCAGATTTGAGTTTTCAAAGCACTGGAATAAATAAACAAAACTCGAAAAAATAAGTACACAATCACACTGTTTTATATTAAAGTCGAATGGAAAACCATCCATTCATCCATTTTCCGATCCGCTTTATCCTCAGAAGGGTCACGCGGCGTGCTGAAGCCTATCCCAGCTGTCTTCGGGTAGTAGGCGGGGGACATCCTGAACCGGTTGCCAGCCAATTGCAGGGCACACAGAGACGAACAACCATCCGCGCTCACACTCACACCTAGGGACAATTTCGAGTGTTCAATCAGCCTGCCATGAATGTTTTTTGGAATGTGGGAGGAAACCGGAGTACCCGGAGAAAACATAAGTATTTATAATATAATCATACTAATAATACCTAAACAAGTTTCAACATGTTTTTTTTTTAAATTAAAAAAATTGAAAATTCACAGATTTCATTCAATTAAATGTGCATGCAGTTTTGGTGTGTTTTTTTTCTTCCAATATTTGAATATTGAATATTTAAAGTATCGGTGTCCTCATTTAAAATAGCCTTTCTCATCCTTATTGGAATTATGACAACTTTATATCTTTCTATGAGACAACTTGATAAGATAAAAAAATGTATAAAAAAATGTATAATACATTTGAAAATGGTCACTGAACATAAAAAACTTGAGGTTAAACTGAGCATTTACATTAATTGATGAGACCAATTGAATTTATGTCCGGGTACCAGACAAAACAAAAAGAACTGTGACAATTTAGGACCACTTGCTTCATATAAACAAAATAGTTGACATGAAGTGCTAAATGAATTATTTCCATGAATCAAAGGAAAAATATGAGGTGGGACAAATTTCACTTCATCCAATATTTCATTTTTTCCAATGTAGATCAATATTTACCACAAATTTCTCACTTTGAGCTTGCCTTTAAAAATGTTTGACCCAGTAGCCTTCTTTCAGATGAGTTTCGAAATAAAGTCACGGTCCAAAAGTAAAGCTTAACCTTCAGATTTTCAAGCAATTCCCAAGTTTCAATGGCAAAAAAACAACAAGCAAGTCAAATCAAATCAGAACTTAAGTTAAGCAAGTCCTGAACATTTCTTCAGTCTTAGTCACTTTACATTCAGCGATGTGTCTTCACTGTGCACAGATGCCTATCCCAAAACAGAGATGATCTATACTTGGACCAAAGGGCCTGAGCACTCTGTGGAGGTCCCTCCCGAGTCGTCTAGCTTGGTTCAGTATGATCTCATCGGCCAGACGGTCTCCAGTGAAACCATCAAATCCATCACAGGTGAGGCTCGGGCAGACTTTCACGGTTTTCACGTTGTCTAACTGCTGCCATCGTGTGTTGCATGGCTTGTGCTCATCTGTTCTCTTTTCTCTGGCGCAAGGGAGATTCAGCTGTCTTCATGTGTCATATTAAAATTTTCGGAGCCTTTCAACACGCTTCAATGCTAAGTGCACAATTTAAACAAACATTTCAGCAGTATCAAGACGACGTGGTTGGCCTCAAAACGTGTGTGTGTGTGTGTGTGTGTGTGTGTGTGTGTGTGTGTGCGTGTGTGTGTGTGTGTGTGTGTGTGTGTGTGTGTGTGGTTATGTGTTTGTTTTTAAGGATATTTAGGATGACTTAAAAAAAAACATCATCTGCCCAAGCTTTCATGAGTGACATCAACCTGGAATGCGACTCGTCAGAATGTTTTGTTTGTAACGCTAATTCCTGTGTTGCATCTGCAGGTGAATATGTGGTGATGACGATCTTCTTCCACTTGAAACGGAAAATGGGCTACTTCATGATTCAGACATATATCCCTTGCATAATGACAGTCATCCTGTCCCAAGTGTCCTTCTGGATAAATAAAGAGTCGGTGCCGGCGCGCACAGTTTTCGGTACGTGGACCTCACTCATTGTGTTCAACCTTTTGGGTGGCTGTCAATTTGCTTGGAGTGCCTCTTCTCTCTGTGTAATTACGGCGAAGATCAAGAGCTTCGCTCTTGATACGCAGTGTTCTTTGAAAGCTAAGATTAGACATGAACAAAAGTCATTTTGCTGCACCTTTTAAGTACGGTGGAGCCAACTCAAATGACGGTGATTGAAGATGTGTACTTCAAACAACAAATTGCGAAACCATTCCAACAACTTTCCTCTCTTGCTTTACACAACATACAGAAGGAAAAAAAAAACCCCAAATATTTGTCTTTGAGTTAAATTCTATATTTAAATTTCTGTGCCCTTGATCTGAGAGTACATTTAAGAATCATTTGACCGAAGAGCATTTCAACTGAAAGGAGTATATACAAATAAATTACAAAGGCTACAGAATTTTGGTTACAAGAGGGGGTGGGGGGGCAGCTTTTCTCAGCCGACGTAAACACGGCACTTTTCTTCAAAGCACCCAAGAGGCCGATTAAATGATGTCAATAATAATGTTAAGAATAGTAATCTTTCTCTACCATGTGTCACGATCTGTATTTCTGTTGACTTTGTTTGGATTCGATTTAGTTTGATTTCCTCTTTTGTCATACGCCCCCTGTGTCCCCTTTCTCCTTGATTTGTTTTGCGTATAAGGTTTTGTTTCCACCTGGTTTCATCAGCTCTGTCCTTTGTGTCAACCAATCAGCTCCCTCCAGCTATGCATGTCTCATCATTTTGCCTGTACTTAATAGAGTAGTTTTGTTGAGTCTTTGTGGGTTTGTTATTGCTGTCATGCATACCGTAACAGTCTAGTCGTGTCATGTTATGTTTCTTTTTGTTTTGAGGTTATTCCCTGTTGTTCCTTGATTTTTTTTTCTGTCAGGGAGTGTGGGCTTTTGTGGCGATGGTGGCCAAAGGTTGAGAACCTCAACGCAGGGAAGCAGAGAGGCAACTAGTGCACTCGTCTAAAAAAAGCATTTATTTCAATAAATAAATAAAGACAAACAAAGGAAGTGAACAAACACGTGAGCATTGAAGTCCTCATAAGGGAGTCCCCAGGGCGAGCGCTCTCCAGCACAACCTATAAGGACTCCAAAAAGAGTGGGGGTACTCTGAGCTGCTGTTTGGTGCATAGGCACAAACAACAGTCGGGATCTGTCCCCCCACCCGAAGGCGGAGGGAGGCGACCCTCTCATGCACCGGTGTGAACCCAAATGTACAATGAGTATGCCCACACCTGCTCTGCGCCTCTCACCCTGGGCAACTCCAGAGTGGAAACGAGTCCAACCCGTCTCGAGAGAACTGGTACCGGAGCCCAGGCTGTGTGTGGAGGCAAGCCCGACTATGTCCAGTTGGAACTTCTCTGCCTCGCACACCAGCTCGGGCTCCTTCCCTGCAAGAGAGGTGACATTCCATGTCCATGGATCGGACCGCCAAGGTGGTGAGCCCATGGGAAGGAGGACCCACGCTGCCTCTTTGGGCTGAGCCCGGCCGGGCCCCTTGGGTGTAGGCCCGGCCACCAGGCGCTTGCCAGCAAGCCCCACTCCAGGCCTGGCTCCAGAGGGGGGCCCCGTCCGGGCAATGAAAACGGCATCCAATTTTTTCATCCATTTGTCTGTGAGCTGTGCTTTTTCTGGTCCCTCACCTTGGATCTGTTTGCCATGGGTGACCCTGCCAGGGACATAAATCTGCAGACAAATTAGCTCCTGGGATCATTGGAACACACAAACCCCTCCACTACGGTTAAGGTGACGGCTCACGGAGGCGTCAGCCTCACCTGCGATACTAAATAGAAAAAAAATATATATATCACCATTATAAAAGCTTTGTTAATGTTATGGTCAATGGTCAAACCCTTTTAAGTAACATTTGAACTTGATTGTATACCCACTGTTATTAATGAAATGCAGACCCCGCCCATAAAACAGAATCTCTTATGAAGGACATTCTCCTAAAAGCTTTATGACTTGTCAGATATGCATTTTTTTGTTTAATGGAAAGGCAAGGCCTAGCAAATAATTTTGCTAATAAGTCCACAAGCTACATTTCATCGAGCATTCTCACTTGGTTGCCTATGATTGACACGCAATTATATAGCGGTCACCTCCGGTTGTAAGGAGGTGCATTTATGTTGAGGACTCTGGCACACAGAATGTTCTGCCAATGTAAAGGGGATTTTCTCTAAATTTAATTATTGCTATTGGTTAATGACACAGAGGACAAACGGTACACTGTTAGCAAAGAGAGAGAGAGAGAGAGAGAGAGAGAGAGAGAGCATCTTTCTATTTTTGTAGCAGCCACCCATGACCTTGTATACACGCTCGCATACGCATTCATCTCATCTAATTTTTCATGGCACCGTGACAGCGACAATGTGACATTCCATCACAGTCATGACATTGCGTCCTTTAGCGATGTCGTGCACACCTTTTTAATTGAGTTCATCTGTGCTTTGTTACATTATATATCACAGAGTGAGTTTGGGCAATAATTAATTGTCCTCTAAATCAGTGATTCGCAAGTGTTGTCCATGGTTCAACCGTCCACCCTGACCAAGATTTGCAAGCCGATCCCTGTGTCTGAAGCCAGTGGTGTTACCCACTGAGCCATCACTGTTTTCTATAACAGCAGTACATAAAATTTACATGAATTTTAGTACAAAACCACCAAAAATTGCGACCAGTTTCATCGCTTCATCCCGCCAAAATCCAATCTTGAAGCCAGTCTGCTGGGTCAAAATATTTAACCCAACTATGGGTAAAAGTAACTCAATCTGCTCCAAGTCCGCAGCTGCCCAGTAAGTGGCTTAGGAAAGCAACCATTTTTTTGTGATGATTTAAACAATGCATTTCGTCAATCATGTCTGACTGTAGCACAATATAATGCTCCACATATATGATTACCATAACACAAATAGAATATTTTTAATAGCTTGTCATGTTACATGCCTGTGATTGACCAGTGATCCTTCTGAGGATAAGCGGCATAGAAAATGTGATGGATTACTCAAGTATTCGTCGAAACACTGCGTTGGACTTGAAACCCTCCTTATAAATGTGTGTTTGATGTCTTTTCTATTTTAGACATACCTGTAAATTATAGAGCTGTTGTGCTTGTGTCAGTTCGGTTAGCTGAGTTCACTTCCTTTAATCCCAAAGCGAACTGAATTTAATATCTGACATCACATGACTTCTGTCATTTACTTGCTTACAAACGCTCTTTTTGAACCCCTGAAGGTATCACCACCGTGCTGACAATGACGACTCTCAGCATCAGCGCTCGCCACTCCCTCCCCAAGGTGTCATACGCCACGGCGATGGATTGGTTTATTGCGGTCTGCTTCGCCTTCGTCTTCTCCGCCCTCATTGAGTTTGCCGCCGTCAACTACTTCACCAATGCGCAGCTGGAACGGGCCAAAAAGAAGCCGGCCAAATGCCCCCCTGGACCTCAAAGCACACCAGTCAAGGTCAAGGAGACGGAGGAAGTACTGCAGGTAAATATTGTGTCCCTCAAAGATAAGTGTGGCAGATACTGTAATCTCACAGCACTTTGCTTGGAGGAGCACTTACACAGCACATCTCTCACTAAATGCGCTTACTGGACCTCTGAATGACTCAAAATGGCCACGAAAGAGATAAGGAAGGATAAAATTTTTTATCCAACAAATGAATCTTGACCCTAAAACACAGTCATGGGTGTACTGCACCTCTTTCCTGCAAGTCAGCTGGAATCCAGCACACCCACCGTAGAAAATTGATGTATGGATGGATGGATGGATAGATGGATGTTGAGACCCAGGGGGTACATTGACTTCATAGACTTTAATTCAAATTATATTTGTAAATGGGCAAACAATGGTTCTCGTTCTTCAGTTATGCCTCTCACAGTTACGCAGCCCGACTACTTGCAGATACGCCGGCCTGCGCTCATTAACATCTGAACTGTCTCTGCGCAAGCCTTGTGCCGCAAAAATGTTTTGCCGGTTACAAAAATAGAGCCCTCCGTGTTCACATGCATGTACTATTAACACGGTGGTGCTGAACAACCTGTGAGAATGGTTTGCCATCCTGCCCATTATTACATTCCATACATTACCATTATTACATAACGTATAAGCATACATCCTTTTTCAGACAGAGACACAAATGTCCAATATAAAGTCATTGGTATGAAATGGTGGTGAATCTCTCTTTAAAAACATTTTTTTTTCATTTTAACACTTTTAGTAGAATATATTAGTGAAGATAATTACTGTAATCATATTAATATCAGCCCCTTAGATTCCGCCATACCATCCATTCATTATTCAAAGTAAAAGAATATGTATGTGAAGATGAGGGGTGGTGGGAGGTGGGGGCTGAATAACGGCTTCTTAACTTTAAAGACACCACATAAAGGCATCGTATTTCTTGCTGCTATTTCTGAAACACTGTCAGAAATGAGCATTAACAAAGAGGACGACTGAATTCTTACCTATAAGCTATTAACAGCTTTGTTTACATGGAATGTGACTGGAGAGATGCACTTGGTTCGGTCATATTTAAGTGTTCTTGGAAAGATTTCGAATTCCATTCTATTCAATGATCAGTGCTCGGTAATGCATATGCCATTTTGTTTCCACTGACTTCTTTACATTGCCCTTTCCAGTTCAAATTCCACTATGGTGTAATCACGCCTGAATGCAGTCGGGTGACAGCAGCACTTCAGTGGATTAAGTAGGTTGCCACGGCAACACAGCCTGGTTGCATCTGTATAGGTTTTGGAGATGCTCTGCTGCTGGCGGGTGGAAATGCTGTTTTACTCAAAAGCAGGTCTTGTCGACCCTCAAAAAGATTTGACGCAACGGTCATTGTGTGATGGGTGCACTTTGATAGCATTTCACACCTTTCACGATGACAAGCAAACAACGCCGATATCCTCATTGGACAAGATACAATTGAATATTTTCAGTTTCAGAGGTTGGGTGGGGGTGGATTATTTCTGCAAATGCTTTAGTGCCAGGCAGCTTCACACTCTTGCCTGCTAGAAAACATCAACTCCCAAAGGATAAGCTTCTTTGACTCGATACTACATTACCGCTGCGATGCAGTACTACCTACTTTGTCTTAAGCTTGTGTGAAATGAGTGAAATCCTTGATACGCAACATCTGCATTGCCTACTCTGACGCCTGCTTCATGATGAAGGCCATCTGTGTGAGGGTCTCTGCAATCAGATCAATACGACAAGGTTTACATTGCACCAACAAACTTTGCAGTACGGGAGAGGAAATGCAAGGGATTTTTATGGTTTAAAAAAAAAAAAGATATATAAACGTGGACACATTTCTATATATGTGCAACATATCAACATTAAGTTGCTTGGGGATGGTCTTGTAGCTTTTACTCTTGACTTGCTTATCTATAATTTTCTGTCCAATTTCTTCTTTGACGATGCGGTCCTTCGCTTCCACTGGTCCATTTGTAGTGTGGTCCACACCATGTCACCAAACAGCATAGTGACTAGTTGTCACGCTTTAAATAGAATTTGAAGACACTTGTGTTGCTAATCGGAGGACATGTCTCTGTGGTCAAAATTATTTTCAATGTTTTCTAAGTGTACCATCAATTTTGTCCAGGTTTGTTTTTCAATAACTATGTTAAACCACAATTAAAAAGCAATGCTTGTCGGGTTCAAAGAGAACTGAATAATGTTTTAGGATCCCAGAATTGTAGACGCGCACACACACAAAACGCATTGACAAAGTGGAAACAGAAATCGCTGGTCAAATATGACCATGGAAAGAAAAACGATACTTTAACCAAAAGCGCTTGCAAAAGGCAAGGAAGAAATTAACCTGAGAAGTAATGCCAATAATGTAATTCACTCGAAAAGAGATCAAATAACTAAAGTAAGTCTATACTTACAAAAAAAAAAAAACACAGAACCCAGAGAACCAGAACTAATACGACGAGAGCGAGAGGTCTAGAAAAATGATCACTTGAGGAGGAGGAGGAGCAGCAGCAACAAAGTCAATAATAATCCGACAAACTACTGAAAGTTTGTTGGCCCTTAAATATATGACTCCATGATGACAACATTGGCAGCAGGTGTGCACACTGGAGCTCTGCCACCTGCTGGGGACACAAGAAGAGGAACATGACAATGTCTGATTTTCATTGTCATATTCAAATTATGTCTGCGACCACTGAGTGTTTTCCTTTCATTAATGGAGCGCTACAGTACCAGCAATTTTGCCCACTTGTGAAGGAAACATTACTTGAAATTCGAGGGTTTTGTTTTTTGCTTCAAATATCTCAAACACTCCAAATGCTTCAGTGCTCTTTGCTATTCTCTAACAAGGAGCCTAGTACCAAATACAACAAGAGGTGTTCCATCCATTCATCCATTTTCTGATCCGCTTTATCCTCACAAGGGTCGCGGGGGGTGCTAGAGCCTGTCCCAGCTGTCTTCGGGCAGTAGGCGGGGGACACCCTGAACCGGTTGCCAGCCAATCGCAGGGCACACAGAGACAAACAACCATCCGCGCTTACACTCACACCTAGGGACAGTTTAGAGTGCTACAAGAGGTGTCTTATACATGAATTGACTTAAACGTTTCTTGGGCCAATGAGAGTTGATATTTAAAGAGTTGTCTTCATGAAGCTGTTCACATTTTGACATTACGAGACCAAGATGACATCCAAAAATTGATCAAGAGTACTGAAAGTTTTCTGAAAGTGTCACAGAGTCATCAGCACGTTGTTGTTTGCGTTCACAGCAAAACCCAGACACTAATGGTAACCTGAGGAAGCGGATGAATTACATTTCCCACCAAGACTCGCGCAACCAACAGCGAGCCCAATCCACGAGCAACATTTCGGCAATCGGAAGAGCCCGACCGCCCAGACCTTTAAACAGCCGCGTCAACGGAAGCTCGTCCACCCTCTCTTGCTCCAACCCCAAATCCGAGAGCGTGCTCAGCGTGGCTTCATCATCGGAAGAAAAACAGCTTGTGAAAAACACGCCTCAGGCTGCCGCTTCCACGCCAGACGTGACGGCGGGGACGCCGTGCAAGCAAAACACCAGCTCCGCTTCCTTGCAGCATCTGCTGGGGCCCAAACTGGAGCGCCTCCAGATGATGGGGAACAAAGTAGAGCTGAAACAGACACCGTGCTCCCAGCCCACTACTGCTGGGATGGGCGGAACCAGCAAAATTGACAAGTATGCACGGATCCTCTTTCCAGTGTCCTTTGGGGCATTTAACATGGTATACTGGGTGGTTTACTTATCCAAGGACACCTTGGTAGCAAAAGCAGGCTAGAGTCTGGCAACAAGCATGAAGCACCATTTTGTTTCACAGATGGGACGTGAAGAAGGAATATCAGAAACATGAGGAATATGCTGCCAAAAACATAATAACGTTCATATCCGCAGAGAACAAATGTTTTTTTTTTTTTTTTATAAACAGCATGGGAACAAATCACTCAAGTTACAAACTTTGTAGAAAATGTTCGACTCACTGTAAGGATGAAAACTAGCACATTGGATGATGCTTTTCTCCTCTTTTAATGTTGCTCAATGTATATCTAAAGGTCTTTACCGGCTACCACTGCAGTCCAGATAATGCATGAGATTTACTATTTTTCTATCCTGCATCTGGCAATTTGTGTGGACATGTGCACCGCCATTCTAAAACTGTACATGTTATGCAAATTGATTTATTCATGCTAACTGATTTGACTCTATTATACAGTGTGCTGACATTTGGATATTAAGACCTTGTTAATGACATGAGAGCAAACCTTTATAATGTAAGAAAGAGTTCAGGGGCTCTGTTTTCATGACCTGTGTAGATTCTACACTGAGCGTGGCATGCGGGTTACACGTGCTGTTGCAAAATTTGCAAGCGAGCGCAGGCTGGCGGATCTGCGAGAAGCAGGGCTGTGCTGCTGTGGGAGTGGCCACAGCTGACTTTAATCATGGCCAATCTTTTATTTCCTTTAAATGCAGTGCACCACAGTCTCAACATGGCGGAAGCATGATCATTTGTGTGCCCACCCAACGCCTAATATTTGAAAATATAATACAGTACAATGATTCAGAGGGTGAGCTGTTCATTTATTTCCAAATGAAATATGTCTGACTTCCACCATACGATGTCTAGAGAGCTCAGAATCAAACGTGTCTGACTGTGTCTTGTTTCCCAAAATCACATTGGCAACCCCGAGCAGCAAATCTTGCAATGATACAAAAATCAGGATACACCGGCATTTGTACCATGACGCAGGTGCAGTGTCAATGAAAATATTGCCCAAGATGTTTAAAAAATAATCCCGAACCATTGTGAAAATACAGTGGAAATAAATCAAAGTAGATTTGGATGCACTTCGGATTCCAAAGGCAGAAAAGAAGCTTTGGTCTGATCTTGATCAAGTACCGTATGAAAAGCACTTTGTACAGAACTTACTCACGATACATCACTGGCAGTTGAATGTGTGGATGAGAATTGTGCGAGATTTATCTCACATAATGTAATTAAATAGCATAGAAAAACGGTTTCTGGGTAGTCCATCATTGCAACAATATAATTAGCAGTTGAGTGGGTGGTGAACGTTTTGTATGTATTTGAAAGCTCCATCATACCGGACATGTGCCTTGAGATACGACTGTACTTTGTTCAAAGACTGCATGATCTCGAATCATCTTTCCCCATTGAAATGAATTCAAATGTCATTAATCTGTTCCCGGCTCCCCCTCAAAAAAACAACTCAATTGTTTGATGTGTGTGTGTGTGTGTGTGTGTGTGTGTGTGTGTGTGTGTGTGTGTGTGTGTGTGTGTGTGTGTGTGTGTGTGTGTGTATAAAAGGGACTTTTTTCATTCACATTCTTGGCTTTCATATTGCTCTTACGGAGCGCAAGGAATTTAAGAGGGTTTATTTTTTTTTTTGCTCCAATTCAATGGACATTATGCTGCTCCTCCTTTGGACCTGTTCATTTGAATCAGGTGTGTTGCAACAGGGAGACTTGGAAAACATGCAGGACAGCGGCCCTCCAGGACCGGAGTTTGACACCTGTGTGCTAGGAACTGGTCAAAACGCCTCAGTAAGCAATCGCAATAGTCGTTTTTTTTGCTGAGGATGAATAGTATATGCCTATGAATACTCTTATGTTATCTGTCTACATGTATTGCTCCACTGCTTGTGTTCCAATATCAGCTATTTAAAAGGTTATTTATAGCTTGGGCATGGCTGATTATTTAGCCAGCTGGTTTAATTGGCTTACATTGGCTAATTCCAAATCAGAAAAAAAAATCGGCTGATTCTTTTCCAATTTTTGCCAATTGTTTATTTTTTTTTAAACATTAACATATTCCAACATATGATAAAGATAATGATATTCAAGCACTGCCCACCCCTCCAATTGTTTTCTTTCTTTTGTAAAAATAAACTCACTGCCAACCATTTGAGAGCATTTCAACATTATTAACCCTTTCATGTACCCTGTAACCTGATAACATGGGAAGCTGCCCACTGTAGTAACCGCTGTCCCTGAAAGGGTTAAAGGCCACAGGATATTGTGGTCAATGACTGCATATTCTCCAAGCAACCAAATGAAAGTCAACACTCTGTCCTTTCCCCAGGTTAAAAAAAATCAGCCTGTTCTTCTATCATCATCAGTATAAAAAAGTTAGCTTGCACAAAACGCACCCATTTCTCCCAGTGGACTCACAAACTAAAGTGTAAAGTGGGGCATCAATGTCATCACTGTTGGTTGTGCATCAATAAGTATTTCCTAGTTTGAAATTTACAGTGGAGCAGCATCAGACACCGCCTCAGCCATCCCCCTTAAAAAAAAAAAAAAAGTATTTGTCTATTGCACTGAATGAATTCTAAGCAAATACTAAAGGACAAAGTTTTGTTAAACTGTCAAATGTTCTGCCTGTAATTCTTTCTTGTTACAAGTGTTAAGTGAAAAAAATGAAGTTACTTTATACATGTTGTATGTTTTTAATTAATCGGCCGATAAATCGGTTGTCAGACTTTTATTCTGCCAAATAGCATAATCGGTGGAGCCCTAATTTTCACTTCCTGGAATTGAAATGATTAAATGTCTCATTATATTTGTCCCAAAAAGTGTCAACTAAAAGTGCTCTAATCACCATCTGTCCATCCATTTTCTGATTCGCTTATCCTCATAGGGGTCGCGGGGCGTGCTGGAGCCTATCCCAGCCGTCTTTGGGCAATAGGCGGGGGACACCCTGAACTGGTTGCCAGCCAATCGCAGGGCACACATAGACGAACAACCATCCGTGCTCACACTCACACCTTGGGACAATTTAGAATATTGGTGAAATTATTTCATATTTAATGTTTGTACGGTACTAGTAATGAAATTGGGCAAACCACAGTTGACTGTCAAACCACGTTGGCTCAACGTTTGCATTTTCTCAATGTGCAGTGTAAATTTTACTTGTGTGCTATATTCTAATTGCACACACGTCACAGTGTGTGTGTGTGTGTGTGTGTGTGTGTGTGTGTGTGTGTGTGTGTGTGTGTGTG